TTTCAACAGACCCAGCATGTGGAACAGCAGAGTGCTGCAGCACTATTCATTCTCCAGATCTTAAGTCCAAAAGCTGTCGCCCTTGTTACATGCGTAGAGGCATAAACCTTGTTGGTATTGCCAGCCCTTAATACCTGTATTTACCCAGCGTGCTAGTGCTTAAAGATGCAAGCTTAGAAACTGCAATTTAACTGTGAAACAATTTCAAATCTTTTCTTTGGAGTCATTAAACTGAGGTGCAGTTGTGTCTGATCAATTCAGCAGGTGAAGACGACCGTTCTTAGCCATACGTCTTGTTTCTTGATCTTATGAATAAAGATACCAGAATGTTTCACTGAGAAACTTAGAAGCGTGTTCCACCATGCATGTTAATAACATTCTAGATCAGAGGTTAAATGAAATACGCTGTTTGAAATAAAGCTGAATTGTAGAGTATAAAAAAATGCGAGATTTGCCAGACATTGCAGAATTAGCCATTGAAGAAAAGAAGCTGCTGATCACTTCAGGTGAAAGGATTCGCCAAGCAGAAGCCAGTAGATCACATGAAATCTGTTCCTGTCCTAAAGTACAGGATTTTCCACAACTGTGGGAATAAGACGTGCTGGCCATTCATTTAATACATGAACACCTTAAAAAGTATAGTAATTATCAGGGAGGGAGTAGGACAAATACTGCATATTCCAATGCTAACAAGTTCTTTTTATGGCCCAGGCATTCAAGACGTTTTTCCTATGAAAATTGAAATGTAAATTTTAATTTTGGATGTGTATTGGGTATTTGCATAGGTAAGACTTTCACTAGACACTTACATGATTTCACAATCTAACTTAAAACATTTTAAAATGGAAATAGTATAAATGTATCACAAATGAATGTTAAAATAATTCCTAACTCATTATATCACAATATATAACAAGAACTTCTCATTGTTGCTATTCTTTTTTACCATCCTAACTCTCCCTTCTCTTCCCCTTACTTAACCTGTCCTTCCCTACTGTATTCAGGAAAATCAGATATTTCTACGTGCTTGGAAGCCAAAGGTTCATTCATAGTATCAGTAGGTAGTCAAAGAAGTTTATTAACTCTATTAACATTAAGTTTAAAAAAGTAATTACCTTTACGTGTGGGAAATCCTGCCATTTTGTACCTGCAATTGTGTGCAAGCAGTTGAGCGCAAGCAAAGCACATGCAGTCCAGTGAAGTACCTAAGTTATGTTTTGCTCATTCATGATGTCACACAATCTCAGCTGATAAAGCAAAGAAAGCCCTTAAAACAACTCCAGAGATTTGTATTTGGAAAGCTGCTTCCCTTGCCAAATGAACAAAAATTGCACCCAAACATGCACGCTTTTTTTTGCTTCCTGGCACAGCGCATTCGATTCGCTTACAAGGCTGCTGAACAGTTTCATAACATGCAAGAGACAATTTGGTCATCTCTGTAGAAACGAATACAGGTTGGCTAATCAGATGATCAAGTCTCAAATGAGACCAACCAAACACATCACAGATCTGCCAAAACCCCAGTAATGAAAATGCTGTTGAGACTGGAGAGTATTTTGGACATACCTGCCACCTGGTGTTTGGAAAACAACCTGATGTCTTGATGTCTAAAAACAACCTGAAATGCTTTTAAATCTGTATTCCCATTAAGAAGCAAGCAAACACTGATGTATTTAATATGGATTAAATGCATAAGCAGCAAAGGTGTCTTTAGGTTGGTGTCATTACCAGCATCTGTCTAGAAAGAAAAGGAACAGGGTGACTTAACATTCCTTCCAGTCCTGTCTCTGCTAACCAAAAAATTCTCAAGTAAAAGTGAATTAAGTGAATTTACACATGTCCTGTCAGGTAGCGCCACTTTTGATGAGAAACCTCCTGGGCACAGACTTATGCAACTTCAGAGCCCAACTATAAACTATAGTGTGCCAAAACCAGGGTAGGTTTAGACTAGATATAAGGAAGAAGTTCTTTACAATGAGGGTGGTGAAACACTGGAATGGGTTGCCCAGGGAGGTGGTGGAGGCCCCATCCCTGGAAACATTCAAGGCCAGGTTGGACGGGGCTCTGAGCAACCTGATCTAGTTAGCAGTGTCCCTGCTCCTGCGGGGGGGTTGGACTAGATGGCCTCTAGGGGTCCCTTCCAACCCAAAACATTCTATGATTCTATGATTCTATGAAACCCAAAGGCAAAGGAAAGAAGTAAGGTATACGAGATGGAGCTAGGCGAAAAAAGAACAAGTGATAAATAATACTGGGTAGTGAGTGAGTAAGCAGCCAGTGTTTGAAATGACTGTGACGACTGTTCATGTGTCTTAGCTAAAATGCTTAAAACCCCCAAGTCTTTATAGCGGAAGTGACATTGACAGTAACTACCAGTTTTGCATGTTTGATGCCTGATGTAAACATTCCTCATTGGTGAAATGGATAACAATAAGCATATAAGCTGAGATAAACCACATTTTATCTTTACCTGCCAGAGGGATGCTTCAAGTGGAGGCCAGAGGTTCAGTCTAGGCAATTGGACAAATTACTGTGCAATTCAGTGATATCAAACTGTACCTATAGCACAATGAGGGATTTTTTTTTTTCCCTCCTTTGCAAAGCAAATTTAAATACATCTGTGTTTCACAATTATAACTCAGGATGAAACCACAGTCTAAAGTCAGTCTCAGCAATATAAATAGCTAGCATTTACGTTAGCACCCCTGGCAAGCACAAACTGTAACTATTTGTCTGGAATCACATCTTCATAGGGCTGCCAAAAATAAAGCGGAGTGCAGTCTTGGGGTTTTTCTTCAAGGCAATGGAGGTCAAATGCAACTGTGTCCCTTGGTGCCCCACTCTATGTCAGCTCTAGTAACTCTGAGAATGATACGCACTAGAAGGTCAACGCTGTATTGTAGATTCACTGTGTGCATGTGTGATCCCCAGTGCTTGCACCAACAGCTCTTTTGATGGCAGAAAACGTAGGTCCCAACATAACCTACCCATTAACAGAGAACCATGCAGTTCGCAGAGAACGTAGCTATAGGTTTACTTGTCAAATGCAGGGAGGTGGGGTTTTTTTTTCACATTTATTCTCAAGCCAAAATCCTAAACTGCTTAATTCTCGTGAACATTTTCCAGAATTTAATTACTGCCTAATACAGGGCTCAGTTGCTTTCTCAGCATCTGAAGGAAGTATTTTCCAATGAAAACACAGAACATAATAAGGAACTTTGTAAAGCAACTTTCCTATCACCAGTAACTGCTCAGCACAGACACATGTTCGCACTGTTTTCTTGCCTTAGTATGGAGAGGAGAACCTAGTGACTCTTGTATGATGTTTGCAGAGAGCACAAAGGAAAGAAAAAAAAATACAAAAAGTTGAAAGAAAAACTGGGGGGAAAAAAACCCCATGCTAACCACAAACAAAAATGACATCACTGGTCTAGCACGTTGATGGCTAATAGTAGAGCCAGGATCGTTGCTTCTGTAAAGCTGAATACTTGCCTGGTTATTGGATGTTATAACAATGTAAATAAAAAGCATACTTCAGGCTCCTGCAAAAATACCAGGTTCAGAAGGTACCACTCCATTCTTTTTTGGTCTGTCAAGCCTGTTGAAGCAGCGCTGTTCCTGTTAGTCACAGCTCTTGCAGAACCTCTTTAATATTCCATCTGAGTTACTCTACATTAGTATTATTTTAACTGACACATATGAAGATAATAATGTCGAATACAACCTAGTACCATCAAAGTTGCGCTTTCCCTTTCCATTTTTTGTTTCAGCGTGCACAAATGGACCTTAAAAACCTCCTCAGGATATGGAATAGATGTGCAAGAGGCTAAGAGAATACATGTGGAAGGACTCACTTCATGCCAACCCCATTATATTTCTCCTTAAAAATCTGCTGGTGATCATCAGGCAAGGAAGCAGCCAAATAAACACTTTGAATAACAAGATATCATAAAATAAAATTGTATGAGTATTTTTTCAACTATTCACTGGAAAGCATTCTTTCAGCCTTAAAATGTATAATATACTGTGGCCTACCCAAGCCTTATTTTCAATGCACGGCTCTGAAAGCAGCAGGTTCTACTGTACAGAAATCGCCTAGCGTGTTCTTCTTCAGCTACTGCTTAAGAGCAAATTGGCTAATGAATGAATAAACTGAAGCAGTTAGGTAGCCAGAAAAATTTGGCTAGTCTGCAGTGCTAGGAAGGATCTGTGCAGACACCACTGCTATGAGCTGTTCCTCAACCTATGTGTGTGTATGTAGCACCATAAACTAAAGATGCCAAGTTTTAACAGTTGTTTTTCTGAATGAAAATCTGAAGTCTATGTATTGAGTGTTGAAACTGTTTCCGTTCTTAATCTTTACTGAGCCATGGTAAAAGCCAATCAGCAGTTGTTTCAAATACAAAGAAATGAGTACTTTGTCTTCAAAGCATTGATAATACTGTTTCTTAGGGGAGAGGGGATGTTCAATTCTGTAGCAGAGCTTACTGCAACACGGAATCTTGAAGCAGTGGCAAAGATGCCCCTTAAGCCTTTTCAAAACCTGAGGTAGCGCCATCTCTACCACGCTCTTTTACCTCTACAAACGGGGTGGAAAAAAAAGTTACAGGCAAAATCTCATGTATTGATTTTTCGCGAGGAACACCTGCTAGTTACTTCAGAACAAAGACAGTACAGTACAAATATGAAACAAGCTTCCATAAGTCAGGACAGGAATCATTTCCTGTTTCTGAGCATAACTTGTCTAATTGATGCACTTATGTGTTAAAGCAGATGTGGGGCTAGAAACTGTTATCTGTAGATACAGAAGTTACTCAAAATCCTGTTTTGGGAAGGTTTCTTCACTGTGCTGGTAACAGACAGACATGCAGAAATCACCGTAATTAGACTTAAGCAACTTGCATACCATTATATTTCAACCTCTGCCTTCAATCAGGGCATGATATTTACAATTGCTCTTGAAGCCCACAACTGGACAGAGACAAAATGAAAAACCGCATATTTTATTTTCAGCTTTAAAGATGCAGCTCTAAACAATCAGTAGAAAAAACAAGTAAAAAAAAAAAAGTAAACACCAGCATTTTGTAAAATCACACTGAACTAACAGAGGACTTCATACAAAGTTTTCATATACCATACAAATGCAGCTTTTAAAAAACAAACAAAACAAAACAAACGAATAGTCTGGTCTCCAAGACCCCAGCTACTGGAAATAAATCATTAAGTACCCACAGATTGTAACTACCAAACAAGGATACATTCTTTCTTTTTTCTTCCATTTATGAAGCCACATCCTTCAGTCATTTGCAAGTGAAATTCACGCAGTCTCAGTTACAGAGTTCAAGAGAACGCACACGGTTCCATGACTGAAGCCCTTCTGGTTTCAGCACAGGCTCTTTATCCAGTCAACGCTCCTCACATGTCTTTAGACTGATCATCTTCTTCAAGTTTTCTGATTTCATTCTTTAAGCAGTTGATGGTTTCACGACTTGCTTTTAGTCTTTCTTTAAGCTCAGCAATTTCAAAACTAGTTTTCTTTTTGGCAGCTTCCAGCTTCTCCCTGGTTTTCACTTCAAGATCCGCAACTACGGTGGTGATGAAGAAAAATAAATACTGTAAGTACCATGAAAAGCTGGTTTTTTGTTTCGGTTTTTTTTTTAATTGCAACAATAATTTGGATGGTGTGTGTCCTGAAAATATCTGTTATTGTTAGCCTTAGAGATTCAATGATTGTAGTCAAAATGGTATCCAAAAAACCCCTTGGAATTAAATAAATAAATAAAGTTTGGTTTGTGGCCTCATTCAGCCCATCAGTTTTGTGGATGGAGTTACATAATTCACTAAATCATTTTCCAGAGTTTTTTAAAGATTAAGTGGGAAAAAATGGTGACAGCATGGTCACCACGTCACATGGTGACAGAAAATAAATGGGAGATTACAGAGAATTACAAATAGTTTATACGTGGTGCCCAGTGACAGCCTGTGAGGCCACGGGCACAAACTGGAACACAGGAGATTCCCTCCGAACATCAGAAAACACTTTTTACTGTGAGGGTGAGCGAGCGCTGGCACAGGTTGCCCAGGGAGATGGTGGAGTCTCCATCCAAAGAGACATTCAAAAGCTGCCTGGGCAACCAGCCACAGGCGGCCCTGGTTGGGCAGGCGTTGGGCCTCAACCATTTTGTGGTTCCTTCCCCATGCACTGCAACCACTTTCTGCTCTCAGTCTCGATGGATGTTAATTCTATGTATCTAAAAGTTTCAGTGGTGCTGCCTTTGCTTTTATGAACATCTGACATTAGGACATCCCAGTCAGGTTGACTGAGATGTCCTAACTTTTTTTTTTTCTTTTCTTTTTTTTTTTTTTTTTAATTTTTCTTTGTTCATGCATAAGTTTTTGGCCAAAGCTGGTAAAGCCAACAAATCTATGGAGGCCATGGATATCCCTTCATGTCCCATGTGTTACATAATTCTGGACAGTCAAAAAAAAAAATCTTTAATTTTTATCTGCTTCAGTAGCACGTTTTAAGAAAATATAGAAAAAAAACCACTGAAATTTTTTATCTACCTTCAGGAGAAACATCCAGGAATTTTAAGTTTTTAAGAAAAGTTCAAATTTGGGCATTTTTTATGATTTGAATTATTAAACATTTTCTACCTGTACACCATAGCAACACGCAACGTAACAAAAATCCAGCTCAGGACCGACTAAACTGAGGTAGGAAATACAAGCAGCCCACATGCCCACACACCCGAGCAGACGCAAGGCAAATCAGAACCCTAACTTCACCGAGCTTCAAGCTCAGCCCCACTCTCAGCTCTAGGTATTCACTGTCTAAAAACACCTGGCATTTGTTGTCTGGGGAACACGTGGATAAGCCACAGGCCAGGTGAGCCAGACTATGATGGCATTAGAGTTTGTAACTAACAAGGCAGGATTTGGGCTCAATAAACACTACGTTTGCTTTCTGAGAGTAGAAGAGAAGAGATGAAATGAAGAAGATCATAACAGAAACCATCACTAAATGCGTTCTATTTTATGAATCAATGTATTTTCATTTCATTTCTTTAATTCCCTTAATATTCCAGGTTATATTTCAAGACAGATTAGATAAGGACACAAAGAACGCTGAGCTATACTGGAGGAGTATGTCATGAAATGGCCTACAGTTAAAGAATTGTGCAGAAGGGAAAAGGCAGGAAGAGCTGTCAGACACTGCTCTTCATCCCAAAAGCGTTGCTGCTTTGACTAAAACCATACTAACTGTTCCATATTTCAGTACTTGAGTGTGATCTTTGCTTGCAGTTACCATCCCGATGAGCTGAACAGAACTTTACCACAAATACAGTGGCCTGCATTTATTCTTCCGTTTAACTCATTTCAAAGTTGCTAACCCAGGCGCAGATCACGCCATCGCTCTTCATACCGAGTTATTTGTCATTCTTTCCCTTTCAGCAGGCATACAGATCAGAAAATCTTAAAAGTTTTCAAGTATTAATATCTCCACAAAAGTTGAAACTAATTTAATGCAAACCCACCACTTTTTAGCAGCATTCAAATGCACTGTACAGCCCAGAAAACACTAAAACCCAAATGAACTACTGTTTAATTCTAAAACTGAAGTATTTTGAGTTTCAACTTACACTCCGTTTCATGCTTATAAGCACCGAGCGTTAGCTGACGAGACGTTGTTAACAGCTGCTGCATCATCGCAGTAGGATCTTGAAATATCTAACAAAGGAGGAAAAAAACCCCACGGCATCACTAACACTCTTCAAAATAAAGTGAAGGTTACATTAAAAATTTTCGTACCATTTCATCATAGAATTCAGAAACTACAGTTTTCTTTCCCAGGATGGCATTGGTATCAGACTGAAAAAGCTTCAGCAAGTGATACAAGGTTACCTACACAAAGACAGAATTTGATTAGCTTGGCAGTTACAGGGAAATACAAATCATCCTCTAGATATCGACATGCACTATTAGTTCTTACTAAACGCCTGTATAGGACTTAAAAATCTTCTAGGAATGCAAAAATAAATGTCACATAACTTCAATTTAATATTCAGTGTTAGACACACCAACTATCCAAAGGCTTCTTGATACTTTAAAAATGTCTCAGCAAGTGGTTTAGGATTGGTGCAGAAAAACTATGAAGGCGCCCGTCTCATGAATATTTCCAAACAGATGCTTTCATTCAAGCCAACTTTCCCAATTAATCAGTTAAGGAAGTGCTTTCTGTGACCCTCTCATCCCTTCTTGTGAAGGAAGAACACCGGGGGGACTCTGAACAGCTTTTTTTTTTTTTGCTTTTTTTTTTTCCTCTTTGCAGAGTTACTCTTCCATTACTGCACTGCAAATGGCAGGAACTGGAGAGGAGTGAAGGCCCTCCCCTCCAGCCCCGAGGAACTGCTCACCACGTCAACCACAACCTGGGAAGAGGGCCCACAGTTTTCCCCTTCCACAGAGGGGGCCATGAATGGTATTTCCTGGAAATGAAGAGCATGACAGGCACCGAAACAGCCGTCCAAAGAACAGCAGCAAAGAAAAAAAAACAGTCAAGCAACTTTAGGACAGCTTGGTCAAGGTGTGAAGGAAATGAGCGTGACAGGTCAGGGTGCTACTGAGCATGACAGCACGGGAAGTCCTTCCTAGGCTAGGCTAGTCTCATTTCTCACACACTCAAGAAAAATGTAAAGTTCAGTTTTCCCCTCACGTGGCAAAAAACGGCTAAAGCAAAAGGATCGCTGTAGTTCACAGGACAGAAGGAACTCAGTCGTTCCAGAAATAAACATCCCCTTCTCCTAAAACATGGTCATCGAGTTTCCTACCTAAACCTGGACAAACAAACGTGCAAGATATGTCTAAAGCACAGGATGGGAAGAAATAAATTCATTCCAACAGTTTATTCAACTGGAGAAGTATCTTAACCTGGTTTTCTTAAGAAAGAGACTAATGCTAGCACAATACCTTTGCTGCTTTTTGACTGATTTTGATCAACGCTGACAGATAATTAAAATACTCAAATATCCTGGAACTAGGAAGCTACGTGGAAGAGAAATCGCCAGTATATGTTCAACCTAGTAAGTTTCCTGAAGCCAGGCACAGGAAAAGCAGTCGTGAACACCAGCAGTAAAGCATAGAAATGGGAAAACGTGGCCAATCATTACATACATTTCCTACAAGAACGGGCTTTATTACTTCCATAGCTGATGGGACTTATTTTGACCAGCAGTACCCTACAGCGCAGTTTTAGGCCACCAGAATTAATTAAGCATTGTTAAAAGTTCAATGTACTTACGGGCCTTTCATTTGGATCAATGAAAAATATCTTAATGATTATTTCGAATTCACCCCAGCCTGTTTCGGTGATTTCATACGGTGGTTTGGTAACAACTGCAGTAGGAAACAGAAGCATTGATGCAGGTGATAAAGCCTCGGTGCAACTCATGAAAATCCCAGTTCCAGGAACAAATGCCCCAAAGCAAAGCCCACCTCTTAAAGGATTGCCGTAGCTTTCATGCAACTTGAACTGAATTTTTTTCACGTAGGCAGACATATCCTGGAATAGAAACACTGTTATTTCTCATCCTTCGCGCAGCACACCAAACTACCCCTCGTTCCTCCCTCCCACACGCCCGTCACTCCTTCCGACACCGCTACCTTTAAAAACAACAGGAAAGCAAGAGGGTAACTCCAAGAACGAGTACTGCCGCGCTGCCCTGTCGTCACTTTGTCCCCGCCAACGCTCTCCCTCGTCCCCACCAACGCTCTCCCGTTCTCCCCGGCCTGGAAAACGGCTCCAAAAACGTGAGCGGCAAAGCACCTTCCCTCTCTT